CGTGTGTTCAGGCCTTTTCTTGATTCCTTCGTCATAGTCTTCATTGATGACATTTTGATATACTCGCGGAGTAGGGGTGATCATGAGCAGCATTTGAGAGTTGTGCTCTAGACTTTGAGAGATCAGCAGCTTTATGCCAAGTTCTCAAATGCCAGTTTTGGTTAGACTGTGTAGCATTCTTGGGGCATATTGTATCTAAGGAGGGCATTATGGTAGATCCAGCGAAGATTGAGGCTATTCGTGATTGGGCTAGGCTCACCTCAGTTACTGAGATTCGGAGCTTCGTCGGACTAGCAGGCTACTACAGACGATTTGTGGAGGGTTTCTCTACCTTGGCAGCCCCTCTGACCCGGTTGACTCGTGTTTATGTTCCCTTTGTTTGGTCAGAGGAGTGTGAGGCGAGCTTTTTGAGGCTCAAGGAGTTATTGACCACCGCTCCTATATTGACTCTTCCAGTTGAGGGCGAAGGCATCACGATTTATTGTGATACATCCGGCGTTGGTTTGGGTTGTGTATTGATGCAGCAGGGCCGGATTATTGCTTATGCATCGAGGCAGCTTAAGATCCATGAGCGCAACTACCCCACTCATGACTTGGAGTTGGCGGCGGTAGTTTTCGCGCTTAAGATTTGGAGGCACTACTTGTATGGAGTTCGATGTGAGATCTATACCGATCATAGGAGTCTTCAGTACATCATGAGCCAGAGGGACCTTAATTCGAGGCAGCGTCGTTGGATTGAGCTCCTGAAGGACTACGACCTATCTATTCTCTATCATCCAGGCAAGGCGAATTTGGTAGCGGACGCCTTGAGCCGGAAGGCAGTGAGTATGGGTAGTCTAGCCTTCTTATCTGTTGAGGATCGACCTTTAGCTTTGGACATTCAGTCCTTAGCTAATAGCATGGTTCGGTTGGATATCTCAGATTCTAGACGCGTCTTGGCCTTTATGGAAGTTCAGTCTTCTTTGCTTGATAGGATCCGTGGTTGCCAGTTTGAGGATGATACCTTGGTGGCCCTTAGAGATCGAGTGTTAGCGGGTGATGGTGGTCAGGCTACCTTAGATCCTGCTGGAGTATTGAAATTCGCCGGCCGCATCTGTGTTCCGAGAGTTGGAGATTTGATACAGTTGATACTTTCTGAGGCCCATGAGTCTAGATACTCTATCCATCCGGGAACTACTTGTATGGAGTTCGATGTGAGATCTATACCGATCATAGGAGTCTTCAGTACATCATGAGCCAGATGGACCTTAATTCGAGGCAGCGTCGTTGGATTGAGCTCCTGAAGGACTATGACCTCTCTATTCTCTATCATCCGGGCAAGGCGAATGTGGTAGCGGACGCCTTGAGACGGAAGGCAGTGAGTATGGGTAGTCTAGCCTTCTTATCTGTTGAGGATCGACCTTTAGCTTTGGACATTCAGTCCTTAGCTAATAGCATGGTTCGGTTGGATATCTCAGATTCTAGACGCGTCTTGGCCTTTATGGAAGTTCAGTCGAAGAACTTTCTCTTAATTCTTCTAAAGTTAATCTTGTTGAATCTTCTGGTGCTGTTGTGAAAGACAGGTTCAAAGGCAAACAGAAGAAAGTCTTGAAAAAGGAACATATGAAGAAGAAAAATCAATTCAACAAGCCGGAGAACCAAATTCAAAAATCTAAGGGTCCTTGTTTTGTTTGTGGAAAACTTGGTCACAGGGCTGCCAATTGCTATCAAAGAAAAGGGCAGGACTTAAAGCAGGAAGAACAAAATGATGTCCAAATTCATCTTGTTGTAATGAAGTGATTGTTGTCGTAGCCGTTGAGGCAAATCCGGTGGCTAACAAAACTAACTGGGTGCTAGACACATGCACTTCAAGGCATTTTTATGCTAATAAGAATTTATTCCATGACTTTGTGGAGTCCACTGATGAGAGTGTGTTTACATGGGTAACTCCACTACTGCTGGAGTTATGGGTAAATGAAAAGGTTTACTTAAATTAACTTCTAGAAGAACTTTATCCTTAAACAATGTTTTGTACGATCCCTCCCTCCGTAGAAACTTAGTTTCCGGAGCACTTCTCAACAAAGTAGGCCTTAAACTTGTTTTTGAAGCTGATAAAATAATTATTTCTCGTGGAGGAGACTTTGTTGGGAAGGGATATCTTAGTGGATGCTTATTTGTACCGAACATTGTTCAAGAGATTGTTATTAATGCAAGTATTTCAAATTTTGCTTATATTGTTGAGTCTATTAATTTGTGGCATGGTAGACTAGGTCATGTTAATATTGTTTCTATAAACAGACTTAGAAAAATGGAATTAATTCCTATGATAAAAACTGATGATTATTCTAAATGTCCTGTGTGTGTAGAAGCAAAGCATGCCAATAAACCTTTCAAATCTGTTATTGTAATGACCCTCATGGTCATTTCTGTGTCTTGCCTTCTGTGTGTCGTTTAGAGCGTTCCTTTAGCGACCCCAAGTCATTTATGACTAGCTGGGACTGACAGTTCAGTCATCTGGTCGTTCGTTTGGTCTTGGTATGAGTTTTTGTGTTTTGGAGCTTAGGAACCTTGAACGATCATTTTCGATCAAAAGTTCAAGAAGATGACATCGGAATCCAATTCTGACGATTCCATCAGCTCCGGAAGGGTTATTTTAAGCTAGTAGCATGGTCAACATGACTCTCGAGGTTTTCAGTTTGAGTCGGTGTGATTAGTCGTTTTAACCTTTGAAGTGAATTGGGGGTGGGTACCAGTTTACTACCTTAGTTTGATTAGATACCTTATGTTAGGATCGATTGGCCACATTTCGGGTATAGTATCATGTTAACCGGTTTAGTAGAGTTGCATACTTATGTACTAATTGCTATTGTATGCTTGTATGCTATGTATTGCATGACTTGTTCATCCTTAACCGTAAGCATGATGTCCTTAGTCTAGGTTAGGCTAGCATTGCCTTAGACTTATGACCCGTGTGGGCTGGATAAGCTTGACTTGCTGCTGACGTCGTTCGGATGACTTAGCTCCTTGTAGACTGGAATAGCAGACTTGAGTCTGATAGTTTGAGCCTTAGATTAG